ATATAATTAAAAATGAATTTCATTTTTTTTCATTTTTTTTTTAATATCTAATAGACCAAAATAGAATTAAAAATAAATAAATAAATAAATAAATAAATCGATTTTATATTTGAAGATTACATATTTACAAAAACAGATATTTTTGTATCTGAAAATGACAAATAGACTCGTATCAGTCAAATCTTCTATACTGTTAAATTGATAGCTATTATGATAATTGATATTAAGTATTTCAACATGAACCTATTTATTAATTTTAATCCCAATATTTATCGCACGATAATCCTATTTCCGTTGAAATTCATTCTCTATCTCGAAGATCTATCGTCGAACATTTATCCTTCCATTCGTCCAAATCCATAAAGTTTTATCTTGATTTATTTATTTAAATATATTTTATTTTGGAGATTCTCTTAATACTTTATATCTTCTACGACTCCGACTCCACATCACATGGAATAAACCTCGTTTTATAAACTTTGTATTTTATCTATAAAAAATATTCTTAAATTTTAAAAAACAACTTTCAAAGTTTTAATAGAAAATATTTTAACCTTTACACTATTTAATTTTTATTTATCTTTATTTAAAAAATGTGAATAAAAATCGTTCGTTTGACAGCTCATAGATTATCTCTAAACTTTTTATATTTAGACGGTAAAATTTAATATATTTTTATTAATTTTAATTTTTAGTATTTAATTTTATTTTCTTTTCTTTATAGGATGATGACTTCCCATCTTATCTTTATTAACTTTACAGCCAGACAAGATCGTCCATTCTGAGGCATACGAATTTAAATTCTTTTGTCCCAATTGATTACGACAAAAATATATATATAATTAATTAATTAAATAAAAAAAAATCGTGGGCCGGCCAAAAGCCCTAATGTACGGCCCATAATGGCCCTAAAAGCCAGCCATCCACGTGGCAATATTCTTTTTGATTTAATTGTTTTATATTATTTCAAATATTAGACCTCTCACAAATATAAATTCAAACATTTGGAGATGTCGAACACATATGTTGAATTGAACGTTGAATTGGGAGTGTTAAGGATATTTAATAATAAATTATAGTTTACCATATATATTATATTTGATATTTTATTATAAGGCAAATATTAGCATATGTATCTTTCCATTTATTGTTATTTCCATTTATTACTATTTTCATATCCTTGTAATTTATTTGATTATAAATAAGACAACTTTCACATCATTTAGATGTGGTGGATTAATCAAACATTCACAGGGAGGGTTATGAAATTGTTGGGAATGAACGCTTCACTTCTTCAGTGAAAACATTGGAATTGACTTTGAATTTGTTTAGAATTAAATAAAACTAAAGGTTGAGCAAATTTACGTTGAAGAAATATGGAGAAAGTTTCCGTAGGTACTCTTAAATCTACTTGTTTCAGCTCCTCTAACGGTTGAATCTCCTTCGTAAATATTATCAAAATGAAACCACATTAATAATTTCACTAATTATTAAAATGACATTCAATATAGTCACATCCCTTTACTCGGGTTTACGTTATCAAAATTGTGGTTATACGCATTTCCTCACTCACGTTTTGTAAAAACATTTCTCTTAAACATGACTCGAAGCTCGAGTATACACCATTGTTACTCGTAAAGTCCAAATCTTGCATGGTTGACTTGTTGACTAGATTAGAACAAAGGTCGCACAATCGCTATCGAATAAAAAGACAAGGTAAATATTCTGAAAAGACATCGATTTGTCTCCAAATCTTGTTTACGATAACCATGAAATTTAACCTTAACTAGGTAGTTAAGTGTTATGGTTTTTTTTGTCTCATCCTATCCAAACAAAACCACTATTTATTATTATTATTATTTTATTATTTGGGAAATTAAATCATTTTTAAAGCAGGTGACATTAAAGAACATTAAAAAAATATATATAAAAATGTAAATGAAAGAGATAAGGCAAATAATTGAGTGCAATGATGGTTGAAAATGAAAATTGAGGCCAAGGAAGAGGCCCATCAACTATGGCCCACAAATGTGTGGCCCTCATAAATGTAGTTTTTTTTTTTTTTTTTTTTTTTTTTTTTTTTTTTTTTTTTTTTTTTTTTTTTTTTT